ATAGGTGTTTCTTGGAAAAAATTAGCTTGGTGTTGAAGTATTCATAGAATCATAAGGTCAGAAGGGACCTTGGAGGTCTTCTAGTCCAAGGCAGGAGTCCTCATACCATCTCAGACATGGCTGTCCAATCGTATTGTTGTATAACTTGATTTCTTGTTGTCCCACATCTCTCTTCTCCAGATACTCATTGTCCAGAAAGCTGTTCAAGCGCCCCCTCCTGGGCTGCCTTCCAATCAGATCCCCCAGGAGACAGAGAAGTTGCTGCTCATCTATGTCCGGGTGGCTACTTGGAACCAGATTCTCGACCCCTGGGTCTACATCCTCTTCCGCCGAGCAGTCCTGAGACGCATCTACCCCAGCTTCAAGCCAAGGCCTTCTATTGTCTCCCTGTACCCGATGATCAACCCGTCCCTCCGGCGGAAATTTACTCAGGAATCTGTGCTGCAGTAGCAAGACGCCGTGCTGGGCCGAGGCGAAATCCATAAGCTCATAGGATTCCCTCTTTAATACGGCAAGGGAGCATTGGAGTGCTATGCTTTACTATGTCTTCGCTGCTTGACAGTTTGCACTGGGGTAAAGGCACTGAGAGTGTCCTATGACCCTTCTCTAAGCTACGTATAAGTGCCCCGTTGGATGTCTGCCTTTCAGCTCCAGAGACCCCTGCTGTGGTGCAACCCGTAGCACCGAATGTAGCATGAGCTGCTTCACATTGGCACGCCAGAGGTCCTGTCCAAGAGTAGAAAGGACATTTCCCCACAGTGGAAGGAAGGCAGGAAGGTAGTTTGGCAACCTGATGCAGAGGAACAGAAGTATGCTGGAAGCCAGTTTTTAAGCATGACGTTGGTTAACCAGTGGGGAAGTGGATCCCTATTGAGACTGCAGATAGGAAAGTAAATGCAGCCTGGCCACGGCAATTCAAAATGCATGGGGGCCATATACATGATTGTTGCAGTAATAAATCCTGTAGCAGCCTCTACTTGTGATGGTCGTCTTTTTGAGGTGAGGATCAATCCCTTTCATTAACCGGGCAAGTCAGATTTAAAAGCATTGGGAAATTGCCGTGGATATTTCCAGTTTAGTTTGTCCCTGGCAATCCCTGTATCCAGCTTGGAGCAAGCGCACACACCACTCAGTTCAGCTAGCAGAAAATAAAATAGCTTGCTGTTTATTTATTAAACATCAGTTAACCTTAAAAAAAAAAAAAATTAAGCACTCAGTTAACTGGCCAAACCAGGATAAAAGTCAATCAAAAGCAAGGAGAGAGAAAGACATGGACAACAGGCAACAATTTACATGATCTATATCATATGTGTGTGTGTGTGTGTGTGTATAATATATAATATATAAAATGTATATCATATATACACACTGTGTGTGTGTATATATATATATGTATATAATATATATTATATATATATATCATATATATTCTCTCTCTCTCTCTCTCTCTTTCTCTCTCTGTATATATATTAACAAGCACAGAAGTTTCCAGAGGCACTAGAAGTAATACTGTAGCTCATGAGCATGGACAGTCCCAAAGGGAGTAACCTTTGGTTATTCTAGCCTTAATCCTTTTATGTACATAACAGCAGCAGAACAGAGATGGAAAGGAGGATACCAGACGATCCCTCCTCCATTCTATACCATGAAGGAAACATTTTGGTGAATGGGGATGGTATAACCGACAAAAAGGAAGGTTTTAGAAGCTTCAAGGTAGGGCTACTTCAGGACTTTTTTTTCCTTAACGGAGTGAGGTTTGGGGGGAGGGAAGAACAGCTGTCAAAGAAGTATTGGGAAGAGTTGGGAGAATTAGAAATGCCAGATATATTCTGGAATCCCTCATAAATTCCACCCATGATGCAGAACAACCCTAGGAAGTATCCTGAGGAGTTGATAACAAATTGTATATCATGAGCCAGCTGTACAGCGCTCAAGCAGTAAATACAAATGTTAGGTTCTTGTAATTTAAAAACCTAGTTTTCAAAGGCTTCACAGCACTTATCCTCATGTCCTATGAACCATGGCATGAATGTGGCCCAGTAGTTCCTTTTGCCTGCCATGACTTCAGGCTGTTTGTCTCATAGCTAGCCACATCTGAGGAGTTAACCTTAGTTGCTCTGGTCTTACAGTAGGGTTTGCCTTCTTCTCCCAGTACTGTTTTGGCCACAGATACAATCGGGCATGCTTCATCAACAACGTGGTGGCTGATGTGGTCTAGGGTTGAGATCTGCTGAGTTCCCATTTAGGCTTCTGCAAGCACATCCCTCCTCTCTGACTACTGGGAACTCCCTCCATGGCCATTGGGTTCGGCCTGCAAGAGAGATCTGGTGTCCACAGAGGCAACTGTCTGCATATTGACTGATCAGTGTCTTCCGCAGCACCTGTCAGGTCTTATACAGGCCCCTTATACACATGGGTTTAATGCTGTTGTGAAAAAGTGCTAGACCTGTGTTTATAAACTAGACTGTGGAGTCCTTGGTGCTCTCTGAGCTTGGTTGTTTGCTTGTAGACATTTCCTTGGGGCACTGATGATATTG